ATATATATATATATATATATATATATATATATATATATATATACACACACATATACATATATATACACATACATATATATACACATATACATAAAATAGCATCAAATATAGTGTAAATTGAAGCACTTTGGAGGACTGGTGCAGAGTTGTGTAAAATAAATAAGCTGTAATGTAGACAGGTTGTATTTTCACTTACTTTGGCAGCATTGATCACTGTAGCTGTGTAGGACTGTGCATTGTCACCACAAGCTCCTCCGCGAGACTGGTGACATCTGATCAACTGCAAAAACAACAATTAACGGATGAATACAAGAAGTTAGTCTGCAGAAGATCTAGAGTTTGCAGAGAAAGATTTGGAGAAATGAACTCCATCCAAAATCCTCCCCTCTTCACTCTTTGGAGGAAATTGGTTTTGCTTTGAGATAAACATTACACAACAAAACAGCCAATCTGCACTGATTTAATTTCAAATACAATATCACTTAAATGGCTCCATCCCAGTATTACTCTTTATGTTCAAAAAACGAGATTTTGTCATTTCTGGAAATCCTTAGGCAGTCACACAAACAGTGGCCCCATCTGTCAATTACTTGAGTGGGCCAGCACCAAAACACTATTATGCATTAAATGTATTGTAGAGTGCACAACAGAACATTCTGGGTTTTCTAAGTACTTAACAATCCCATTACACAGAAGAGAACAGAGAAGTCTATGCATCTGTTGATTTTCAAAATGTTATCATCTCTCTTGGACTCTTCGTGGAATGACTTGTTTATCCAGACAGATTAAAGAGGCAGATCAAATGCATTTTTGGGATTGTAAATATGTCCCTTTTCTGATAAGGCACTTCTGCTGTGGATGATTGTGTGTGTGTGTGTGTGTGTGTACACTACCTTGTTCTCAGCGTAGGCTAGCCAGCGGCTTCCCAGAGCTATTGGATTTAGACTAGGGCCGGGGCAGGGATAGCAGCCTGAAAAGACATAAAGATGGTCAAATAACAGGGGCACCAGTGATGATTACAATAGGAATAAATAACCACATGAGTTTGCAAGTAAAAACAGGAACATATGCAGGGATTTTCACAAGCATTCTCCAGGAGGAGAGGGTCTGTAACTATCTTAAACCATTAACGTGTTTGTGGGAGTCTCTTGTTTGGGAAGATAAATGTGAGTCTAATGTGGGTGACGTGTCTGTAGGCTTGTGTGTGTGTGTGCAGCATGAGCTAATGGAGACTGTGGTACCCAATAAATTGAGGATGGCTCCTCTGCTGATTGACAAACACAAGAATCCCTGTGGGCACACTCACACACACGCAAACACAACCAGTGTGCTATCAGCAGAAATAAAAATAGCAACCAATAATCCTAAACAGCAAACAAAGCTGTGCCTTCATGAACAGATAAAATGTCTTGGACGTTATAAGAACGGATTTTTTTGCTCTTCCCACCCGAACAGATGAGGAAGTAAACGAGAACTCGGATTGCTGTGACTAACAAGCAAAAACTGAGCTCCAGCTACAGGGGCGTCGATCGCTTCTGCTGCGAGATAGAATCAACCAAGAACAGGCAAACGTGTGCTTGTAAACAGGCTGGAGTATTGATTGATATTGTCATAGATATCTTTAAATGCAAGCAGATACAGACAGTTCCTAGTGTGCGTAAACACAGGCCCTCATCTCGCACGCACGCACGCACGCACGCACGCACACACACACACACACACACACACACACAATGTAAGTGCGTAGAGGTGTGGGGAAAATGGCTTGCTGACAATAATTTTGTGCTCAGGGAGCAGATGAGGTGGAGACAGTAATTTAGTGTGCCGCGTTGGGAAAGGGGTTGGTAGGGAGAAAGTGGGTTGAGGTAAGCCACAAGGGCTGCTGGTAATGCCAGAGAAGACTTTTGTGCCTCTCCAAGGCCGAGGGGAGCCCAAGCAGTGAGATAACATGTGTTTGACATCCTGGGTGGAGAGCAGGGGGCTGAAGGGGGAGTGGAATCAAAGGAAGCAGGGATCAGGCTTCTGAAGGCTGGATCCTGAAAGACCTCTGCCTCATAGTCCCTATTTAAAATTTCCATTTTTCGAATGTACTTAAAGTTTACAAAGTAAAACTTACTGGTGTCGCTACTGCTCCCGTTTCAGAATTGGATTATTGCAAGTACGGCAACAAGAACAACTACCTCTACCAATAAAAGTAACTGCCTCATTCTCACAGTGATCTGAACATCAAGGCAATATACAATATACTAGGACAGTCAACAAATATTCTGCATTCTGACATTCAAATATGAAAATGTATATTTAATTGGGAAAAAAATCTAAAAGCAGCACTACTATTATTTCCAATGGCTAGTGCAGTGCCACGACGGCTTGTTGCCAGGTGGAGCAAAGCGTGGGCGCCCCTTGATTGAACTTTGGGTGCAGCGTGCTGCAATGTTAAGTCGTGGCGGGTGCAGAGCAAAGCACATCCTGTTTGAAAGGCCCTTACCACGGCTATCTGCCTCATGCGTACGGAACGCACCGCATTCAGTCACGCAATGGCACCTTCATTAACCGAGAATGAAACGTAGCGTTAGTCCAAGTTCAACGAGGACTAACAACAACAGTGATGATGGGACACACACCGTGTTCCAACAGAAAAAACCTTCCTTCATGTGAACCAGTCCATCAGCTGTGCGCTCGAGATCAGACTGGAGACATAACCACTTCAGAGATGTGTGAGTAGCACCTGCTGTCTTTAGAGGATGGTACTTTCTGTTCTATATTTACTGTAAATGTTCAGGCAATCTCCCTCCAGCCAGCTGACACCTTATTATGTAGAGAACTCCTCATTTCACCTTCACGGATCAACACACAGTCTCACACGGTCAAAACTGTGCAGGTTGTACAAACTGATTTGTATGCATGAACATACCCTTGCAAGCAGCTCAGTTGACCTGCAGGTCTAAAAGTTAAGCATATTGGAAAGTACATTACATTAAATGTTTTTGGCTGAGGGAAGTTCTCGCCCACCATTAAGATTCAGATAAAGAAAATCAGAAATTGGATTAGCTGAGAGGCTTAGAGGTCTCAGAACATCCATAGGGCCAGACTTGTACAGCGGACGTCAGTGGTGGGCCCAGCTCACAGACAGTAAATAAAGATGGACGACACGACAGCTCCCCAAAAGTGAGGCAAAAACATGTCAATCGGCCCCTGGTGGCTGGCTGCAGCATAGCTCCTAAACCCCGCCCCCATGGGCTGAACTTCAAAAATCAAAGTGAAACCATATTTTCCTAAATATGATTTCTCTCATTCTAGATAGTTTGTCATGCTGATGTGTGTTCAAGTAGAGTTGAAAAAAATGAGTTGGACCTCGTTATGTTTATTGAACTATGAAAAACATTGATGTACATTCTAGTGTGACAAACAGCTGCGGGGGTGCTAACGTAGCAGCTAGGTGGCTCTCCAGCTGCAGCCACGCTCGGCTTGTGTTGGCCAGAAGAGCAAGATGGCAGCGCCTGCATCCAGTATACTTGCTCCACCTTTCTACAGCTGGCAGAAGTTCAGACGTGTCGTCCATTTATAATTACAGTCTAAGGTCCAGCCCTACCCTGCAGGCCTTGCTATTTGTTGTCATTCCCCCAGCGGTGGCATCAGATCCTGTCTGCAAAACCACACCAGTGTCTAGCGCCCAGTGTCCAGCACTTTTTTGAGCAAAAAAGTATAGCTCAAAAAGTCCTGTCACTGAGAAACGTTACATTCTGTGAGACTGGGAATGTGGGTGACTTTTGAAGAGTATTGTATGAAGAGTTTGTAAGAGTAGTGAAAACAATTAGTCTGCTTCAGAGAAATAAGCACAGCAATCATTGTTTTACACTGTAATATAACCAGATGACACAGACACCCTTTTACCGTACGGAAACACAGTATGTACCAAACCGTTGTGAATTGTTCCGCTCAGAAAATCTAGACAAGGCTGTGGACTCAAGTTGAACAGAAAGACCCAGCTCACAGCACACACACCACTTGAATGCAAAGCAAGAACATAAACATGGGACGATCCTTAAGTGCTCATAAAAACAGGACATGTCCACCATCTCATCCCTGGAGAAGGAACGTGCTGCAGCAGAACGGCTCATCCGAAGCGGAGCTACACACATAGCAGGACCCTTTGTTTACTGCTCCTATGGCCCAAACAGACCAAACAACCAAGGAGAGGAGGCCCCTGCATCCAGGAACGATTAATAACTATTGAGCATGTTTGGTTTCCTGTGGCTCAGACACTGATAGGGAAGGCAGGCAGACAAAGAGGAGACACATTAAAGCCAGCCAGTAAGGTCAGTTTACTCCAGTCAATGACTTAAGTGGACAGCAATGGCCTTGTAATGCAGTCTGGCCTTTCTTCCACAGCCTCCTGCAGCAGACGTGGCAGGTATACCAGCAGGATGCAGGAGCTGTGTTGTAAACAGTTCCCCCGTGTTGAGCTTCAGATGGAGGGCCTCACATCATGTCTCCAAGCAGTTTAGTCACAATGCAAAGCTTGAGAGAACAGCAGGCCTTGGTGGCTGGTTGCACTGTAACCAAGTCAAACCGAGGCACAGACCATGTTAATGTCAATGGGTTGAGGAAAAAATACATATCTTAGTTGATTGTTTGCGCTGCTGCATACAGTAGAGATCACTGGGATTTTTCCCGACATTTGTTTCCATTGGAAATACAATAATATTTCACATGCGATGACAATCTACATGAAATCTAACTTTTCTGTGATATGAATAACAATTGATCTTTAAAAAAAAGATTCTTCCTTTTACGGTCCAGAACTTAATAGCAGGTCAGAAAAACACGCCAAAAATATCAAAAACAAAAGGAAGCTCCTAAAAGAAAGGTGTCACACTGGTGCATAAATGATGTTCTTACTTTTTAACCAGGGTGCTCCTGAAGTGTGCATATAAAGTACGATAGAAAAACAACTCTGTAAGTGTTAAAACAGTGTCTTACTTGTGACGAAGAACTTCTTGGTGAAGGTGCAGCTGTCAAATGCAGCAATCTTCTCTTGGAGGCTCACAACGAGAATACTTGAAGAGGGAGAAAATAGTCCATTATTAGAATGAAAATAAACATGTTGTAAATGAATCATAAAATATGAGTTGTTTCTAGATCAGACATACTGCTTGTTGCAGTGGAGATCATAGATGGGCGTCTTGAACTGAATTGATTTGACCATTTCCCCTGTCCGTAGAGAATACAGGTCAACACAGCAGTAGGGAGGGCTCGTCCTGAGAACAGAGAAACAAATGCATTTAGTCAGTCTGAAGAATTCATGCAGACATCAAGTAACTAATGATACAACTTCAGGGCAGAACACAGACACTTGTGATGAATGATAACTACTGATTTAAACAAATATATTCTGACACAAAACCACTTCTCCTTTCAATTCATAGTGTAGTCATGACTGTACATATAAATTAATAACTCAAAAAAGTCAATTTGTGTGAAGGGATCCTTTAAAAGTGGGAGCATACCAATCTGAATAGCAGATTGATTTTAGAGGGCAAGTTATATGGAGCACAGTTGTTACAGTAAAGATAGAATATAATATATAAAAATAAATAGTTCAGGTTACATTTAGGACCGTGCTAAACTAGTGTAACATTTGAAAAATCACTTTGCTAAACACCTTGAGAATCTCTGTTGTCATTGCCAACATGGTGGAAGTGCACCACATGTACAAGAAGCCTCTATCAACACAGCACAGAACGTGAGGGAGCCTGTCCAACATGCTGTTCGAGGAGAATATAGACATACAGTGGGTACGGAAAGTATTCAGACCCCTTTAAATTTTTCACTCTTTGTTTCATTGCAGCCATTTGCTAAAATCAAAAAGCTCATTTTATTTCTCATTAATGTACACTCAGCACCCCATCTTGACAGA